AAGGGAAGCCGCAGAAACTCAGCTCGGCAGAAGGTTCATGTCCTTCAGCATCATGCCCAGGAAGGCTGACGAGTGCAGCTGGAACAGAAGGTACTGCTCGCTTCTCAGCACTGAGGACCACCGCAGCCTTGTTCTGCTGAGTATTTTCTAACCGGGCCCAAGCAGGATGAGCTCATGGCAGTTTACCGCAGTGAAGGCGAGGTATGCATCTGGAGAGATAGCGGCTGGATTTATTCAGGCTCTTGGAAAATTAAGGCATGGTTCAAAAGCATATTTCTGTTTTGTTTCCTCTGAGACAGCCAACAGTGTAATCACTCCATGCGTTTCAAATAACATGAGAACCTGAGACTGACTCACTGTTTCCCATTTCACTAGCTTGGGACAGGATGCAAAGCTTATAAACATATTCCGTGTGAGTCTTTACATGACATGAAGTTCCTTGCTCAAGTTTGCAAGCCCACATTTATTTTTTTTTATCCCTAGAATGACTGTTTGTGGTCTGTGCTCCAGCTCTCCTCCAGCCCATACGTAAGGACTTGGGGCAGCAGTACCTTTCCACCCCCTAGCTTTATTCTCTCTATTTCTGCAGTTATGCCTGAGCTTCTCTCTGACCCACAAGATGGAAGTACCTGTACCCCAGTAACTCACAAAAAGAGAAGGAATGGACCTAGAACTGGATCATCAGAAAGACCCTTGTTGTTAAGGAGTACACTGCATCTCCAGGTAGGGACCTCACAAAGTTAAGGGACAACCACAGCCAAAGGAAACAGCCAAGTACAGCATTCAGGCACGCTGGTGGGATCTTAGTAACTCCTGAAGCCAGTGAACCTGGTCAACAGGTGTAGGGTAAATTGCAGCGCTATTAAAATTGCATTGCCCGCTGGCTTAGGAAAATAAGGACTGGGCACAAAAATTGGAGTGTTTCCAGTGATACTCATTCACGAGATTGTGAAATAAACATGGCTCAGGATGAAAGTACGGTTTTCAGGGACACGATGGTGAACAGTGTAGGTGCAGAGCCTTCTTTCTATCTCAGGCTTGTCTGGCAGCAGCAACGGGAGTGCAGAGTAAGAGAGAGATGCACAGAGGTAGCTCAGGAGCACAGATCTGCTGTGCCCACTGACAGTGACGTGTATCCACATCACACATCCAGCATCCTTTGAAATCTGGCACTCAAACAGAGTGGCAACTGCATTCGTTCAAATGTGTTCCTGACCTGAATCAACTGCAAGTGAATAAACATTGAGCTGTTCCTTCAAGCACATTTTCACTCCCTGTAGTACATCAGTAGAGTTCCAGGTATGAAAGAAGAGAAAAAACATGCTCAGCAGTAACAGATATCCTTACAGAGGCTGTTGGTATTGGAAAAAAAAATTCACACACACAAAAACAAACAAAATTCATCCCGCAATACTCAAGTGTGATAGTTAGTAATTATATTAGCTCTGGTCTTGAACGTATCTTCTGTGGAAAGAGTACTGAAGGCTAAATGTGTTTTGGTCTTTAGTGCCTACATAAAGGGATCCAAGCACTTAGAGATTTAGTGGAATTTTTGACATTATTGGCTGGCTCTGAATCAAATCAATGACATTTAAACATTTCTGTGCTACAAAGGAAAGGTGGCTATCTTGGTTCTTTAATACTTAAATATATTTGCAAGCCTGATCTTTAATACTTGGCAGTTGGGCACTGACATTTCTATTCACTGGTATGTTCCAGTGCTTTCATAAAAGATTCAGAGCAAAATATCTACATTTTAAAATGTCCCCTGGCATGAATTTTCTGAGTAACTTCTATATATGACCATCAAAATATCTTGGTTTAGTACAGCTATATTCAAGATCTTTAAAGTTCTACTCTATATTCAAATATTAATACATGTAATAGACTAAAACAAGTACTGTCCAAAATGATTTTTAAAAGAATGGAAGCTAAGTAATGTATTGAATGGAACTAAATAATGTATTTCTATACTGTTTACAACGGCATTTTTCAGTGTAAATTAATCCTGCTTATGGAAGTATAAACAAATAAAAAGGTAAGTTAATAGGTAAGTCATAGGTAATTTCTGATAAAATATCATTTTAAACATATTTGCTGACATGTAGCAAAGCAAAAAAAAATGTGATTATCTTACTTTTTTCAGTGGAAGGAATAATAAGCATCAGTGAGAAAGGCTGGCAAATTTGGTCACTGTGTTTGTTTCTTCACTTTAGAAAATCATTGAAGGCTGTGTATCTTTTTATTTTTGCTTGCGTAACAACTTTGACAAATTTACTCTTCGTACCCACATTGGAAATTGCTCATAGCCCAGAGCAATGCAGCATGGCTGTCCATATTATTTCCTGTTCTACGCAGCCGTGCTTGGAGAATATTGAACAATATGTAAAACTTTTACATTCTCTAAATCTGAAGGGGATTATTTGAACCTCGTAGGAGAACTGTGCAGAAGAAGGCAATGTTTTGCTCCAAGCAATGTGAACTAAGAAAGAATATATAAATACAGCCTGAGACCAATAAATCTCTAACTGCAAATCCACTGTGGCAGTAAATGGTTTCCCTTTAATAATGAAATACCACACTGGCAAAAATAAATATATAACGCAGGCTACCCAACCATTACTGGACTACAAAATAAAGAGACTTTAAAACAGAGACTCTTTTCATTCTCTAGAGTACTCTGTGGTCATGTTTCAAGTTTTCTTCTGCAACTATGAGGGCTAAAATCTTACTTGAAAAAGTGTGGAAACTGAGACTGTCACACAGACACTTGTACTGGGGCTCTAAGTGAAACTCCAGATAGTCCAAAACTGGCAGTAATACCACAGTTGGCAGCATTACCGATGACCAAATTTCTCTTTATAAAACAAAGCACACATTGGCACTGAACCTAAATTTCTCAGTTTGAGCAAAGAAAGAAAAACATTTATTCAATCAAGGAAAACTTATTTGCTGTTAGGGAGGAAAAGAGAAGTTTTTTTCACTGTACACAAAGAGGAATAATTTTTTTGCTACAAAGATCTCTGGAAGATTTTTAAAACCTTTGAAAAAATAAAAACTGCTCCTTTTTCAAGAAAAAAAATATGTTTCCATTGACAAGAGTAGTGAGAATCTCTCTTCTATACCCCAGATACTTCAAGACAGAAGCTGCAACTCAGCTTGGCCAGAGTTTTTCTTTTGGTGATTTCTTTCATCTGCTTCCTTTCTATTCCTATTATTATTCCTTCCTGTTTGTGCCGATGCTCGTCCTACCAAGTCTGATGTTGCAAATGCTGTCTGCCTTTGCTGTTGATGTCATGGGGTCTCTTAGGGGGCCACACAGTGCTCTTGAAGCTGCCTTAGGATCCTCTGAGATCCAATTCAGGTTTCTTGACTCAGCGGCAGACAGCTGTGGTCCTTTCTCTCCCATTCCCTTGCATGAGTTTAGGGATCTTGCTCCACTCTGATACGTGCAGTATCTACTGCAGAGCTGCAACACTTTTTGCCCTCATTTTGTTGCAGGTAACCACCACCATCAGCATCAGCTTTGAGGACTCCTTCGGATACCGCTACTCAGCATGAACACCACTGAAGCAAATCAACACTCAGTTTCTTTGTTCTCAAAAAACAGGGGAGGCATCCTGTCCTCAAGGCTCTTAGATTTTGCTAAGGAAGTTTCATTACAGCCACTAAAATTCCTTTCTGTATCATTCTTTAGAACGAACATTTCAGGTTCTATTTTGGCAGCGCAGTAAGTCGAAGGTTAGAGCTCCTCTTACCACATCAGAAACATCACTACCCTGGGATGAGTTCATTCTCCAAGTTCAGATTTACCTTCTTGGTTGAAGGCTTTCTGCTGCAGTGGTTAGTGTTTTCTGGGCCATCCAAATTCACGTCCTGTGTTGGCACAAATAGAGTATAAAAGCAGCATGCTGGCTCTAGCTCCCTGCCATGTGCTCTGATCCACTTGAAAAGTGTCATTGTGTGCCCACCTCTGCTCTGAGTCAAATCTGTATTAGGGTGAGATCCTTTCCAATGATGGAGAAAGCTTAGCCTTGCTAAGGACAACTTGCAGATTTTCATTTCTCCTAGAAGCAAATACTTATCCAGATGAAGTGCCAGAAATTCAGTATCTACCATCGGATTTCTACTGAGCACCAGCTTCTGCCACCTGCAATAGGCAGGGGATGTGTCACAGTCTTACGATGTAGAAATGTAATTTCTTTAACTAAACAAAAGTTATTCCGTACACGAGGCTGATCTGCTACTGTTTTCCTCATCACATGAATAAAACAGCACCGCTGTTGGAAGCACTGGCTTAGCTCCTGGGAGTTCCTGCACGTGAAACTGTTCCAAAACTTCCCCTTATAGTGAGCAACAATCATGAGGAAAAAAAAACAACACACAAACAAAACACTTAATTACTGCAGTAAGTAGAGTTAGTAGAGCTGAGTATTAACAAGTCAGGCTGTTTGTGAGGTCAGGTTTTCCTCTTAATTTTCCTGAGAGCTGACAGAGGGAGATGAGCACACAAGCTGCATGGTGTTCTCATTGGGTTTGAAGTTTTGTCAGTAATTATCGTCAGCTGCAGAAAGTCATTAAGGCACAGTATATAAGAGCACTGCAAGATGATGTTTTGATAGCTATTGACTCCAGAGCTCTGCTGGGGACTCTTCCATGTCCTCTAGAGAAGAAAAAGGGGGTGCCACAGTTTCCTGGGTCAGCTGGACCTGAGGAGAAGACAGATCCTACATGGGTTCCCTAGGGAACCCAGCTGGGAGACACCTTTGAGGACTTTATTTTCACCACATGGCACAGCAAGTCAGCATTGCAGGTACCTCTGCAGAAAATTAAATATATATATATCTTTCCTTTGCTAACAAACCAGAATCTGTTACAGCTAGTTGAAATTTTTACATTTTATAAAGTTGTTCAAAGAGGTGTGTGCAGGCCTGGAGCCTGTCCCTCACGGGGCACGTTGCTCGGGGCCTGGCCTCGGCCTGGGCCGGTGTCCCCTCAGGGCTGGCACACATCCTCTGCTGGCTGTGTTGTTGCCCAAGGCCACTTAAAATGACACAAAGAGGAGGCAGATGGGGACTCTTGCTGCCAGCTTTGCCCCTCCTTCCTCAGTGTGTTATCCCCTATTAACCAGGCTCCTTCGCTGCTCCTAAATGTCCCCTGTGACAGTGCCCCCAGGTGCAGTACGCAAGGCGGTGATGTATAGCCTCTTCTAAAGAAATTTCTGCCTCTGTTAAGAAACTTTCCTGACCTCTTGGCCGAAGAAGAACAAAATAATGTATTAACAAAAACACAGCCGGCTGCCAAAGAAAAGGAGTTCCTGTAAGGACTGAAACAATAAATCTCCTCCGTGCTGAACTCCCAGAGGGAGTATGCTGTGTTTCCTCCTGTTCTTTATCAAAGTCCCCAAAATAAGCAGGAATGGGCAGTGACTAGGCACAGGCTCTACACACCTTTTTCCATGGAGTAATTAAGGCCCGCCTCAGAGCGAGAGAGCACTCCCTGCCCAGCTGTGTGACAGAGCGCTGCCCACGATGCCACCACCAAGCATGAATCTCCTGAGGATCGCCTGCCTTCTCCTAGCTGCGCTCTGCGTCTGCACCCTGGGACGTAAGTTTTTGGCTGTTTTCAGCTCAGCAGGCTGTTTTGTGAGCCAAAGCTTTTCTTTCATTAGATGGGTGTTCTTTCTTTTTTTTTTGAGGTGTAGTCATTGAAAGACTGTGTGCTGGAGGAGGAGAAGGTCCTAGCTAGGACCTGAGTTAAGCTGTGTTCTAGGAAAAACTTTCTTGCCATCGTGCTTTTTGCTGTAGCCCTCTTTCTGGACATCATGAAGCTCCTCTATCTGAGAGGAGTTAAAAGAGCTGTATTTACAAAGCTTTTCTGTTCTGTGTGTATTTCTTTTTTTTTTTTTTTTTTATTCATTGAACTAAAGCATCTGTTGGAGAGAGGGGGCTTTAAGGGGAAAACTGAAACGTCTGTCAGGTTTTGTGAGCATTTGGAAATCAAACCTGTCCTGATGGATGTCCCTGGCTCTGTGCCAGCAGTAAGTTTGGCTGGGGGTGTCTCTGAGAAACAAGCTTGGGTTTGCCCCAAAAAGATAGGGGGACTTAAGGCATTTATCAAGTGCCAGATCATGAGGGATGCAAGCCTGGGGGCAATGTTGCTTACTGAGTGCAGTATCTTTTTTTAAGTGATTCTGAGATTCACAGATTTAATCAAGCTTCACTGTGTTCACATGGTCATTGAACTGCTGTTTTCATTATTCATCGGCCTGGGAGATTGTGCTTTTAAAGGGGAATTAGCTAGAAAATCCTGAGAGGGTGAGAAAATCTGTAATAAGGACCAGAATCTATCATCACCTTTGTCAAAAGATGCATTTGAAGTCAAATCTGGTTTTTATCTGCACTTTAATTTGCTGGTCCTCTGGTGTGCACACTCAGAACCAGAGCTTCCATAAATGCCTATGGATTGCCTGTAAATGATCTTATGAGTCAGAAGTAAAAATAAATAAGTAAAATACCAGGTTAAGTGATCAATTAACGAACCTTTGCTTAGATTATGTGTCTAGATTTTACCACATCTTTTGTGATGTAGCTTATGTGAGCCTGGGCTCACAGCTTTTTGAAAAAAAATATCAATACAGGAGATTAAAAATAATGTTGTGCCAGAGAAAGAACTGCTTTTAAAACTATGTTAAGTAAGTACAAGCCACAAAAGTCTATGTTGAGGTACTATTTATTCCCTGTCTGCTACTCCTAGTAAAAATAGCCTTCCTGTCATTGTTGAACCTCTAATTTCACAACTTCTGAAAAGCGAAGTGGGGTTGGATCAAAAGGAGCATATTTAACACAGAAGTCCATAGAGCTTATCAGAAGGCAGCATGTGGGGTGGGAGGAATTCTGTCGGTTTTCCACTACCCTTCCTTTAAAAAGGGTTTTCCCCTCCTCTGCGTGATGTGAACGGGGCAGAACTGATGACAGAATAAGTGAATTGCACATAGGATACGTTTGCTCTGAAGAATTTTGGCTCTGTAGAAGTATTTTTGAAAACGCTTTATCGAAAGGTAAACATGGTAGTGAAATTCTGTTGGCAAATTCACGTTAGGAAATGAAGAATATGTGCTTGGATTATGTGTCTCTGTCTACGTTGCCCAAGTAAAAGAGCATCATCGGGTCAAGCTCCCGTCTTTCTGTGCCGTCTCTAAAAATGAGTAATTAAAAGCAGGTTACCTGGACTTTTCCCACGCATCACCTGTTAAAGCAGGAGCAGTTTTACTGTCTGATAAATGAGGCTGGTCCAAAGTCTTCGGATTTCCACTATTTGTGATCGTTGCAGTGTTCTGTGTGTCTGGGCTGTAACAGCAGGCTCTGATCCTCTGAAGACCACAAGGAGGCTGATATCAGCCTCCTGCGTGCTCAGGCTCTCTGGTTTGAACACTGGAGACAGCAGCAAGGCATTTCTCTGGTTGCTTGGAAACACCTTTAGTATTTTAATATTAACCTCAGTAAAATATAGAGAAGGTCAAATCACACCCCAGTGTTTTAATACTCCCTCTGCCAGGTTTTGGGGTAGTTTGTCTCTGTCTTCAAAGTTTCCCAAGACAAGTAATAATGTTGGTTTGCAGCCTTGTTATGTAATGCACACAAGCTGTCTGTCCCTGCTGCTTTTTCAAACCATGCAGGGGGGTGTTTCTAGTAGTAGTACTACTTCTCTGGTAGTTTTCTAGCTCGTCTTGGGATCTTGCATCCTCAGAGTCCCTACTTTTTGGTGGGATCTGCTCTCTGCCAGCAAATTACTGGAGGCCAGTATAGACCAGTATGTACTGGAGACCAGCCTCCAGTATATGCGGAGGCTGATGGCCTCCTGACAACCTGCTTCAGCTCTCCAGGCTTTTCTCCACCCTTTTAGAGCTAAACGGTGTGCTGAGTGTAGGAGTTCCCTCATGCTCATCTCAGGGCTCTCAGTTCCAGCATATTGCCCTCTGTTCTTCACTACAAAATGAAACCAGGGTGCTTTTCACTTTTTTGGGAACAAGACTTGGCATTGAGAGCCTGGTCCAAATGCCATGATTTGGAGCTGCTCCATTACAGCATGGAGCAACCTGAAGGTAGGCACTTCCCAACCCCTTCCTCATTAGGGGCTTGCTGTAGCACCTGGGCCATCATCCCAGCCCAACAACACTGTGGTTTATGATAGCCTGAGGGGATGTTTTGCCAGAGCAGCGTTCCTGTAGTGATCATACACATTTGCATTCACCCTAACTCTGCTATTGTCAATGTTAACTAGAGGAGATAGATAGTCTTTCCCTTTCCTGCCTCCCATGCTCTCAGCTTCCAAGTCTTCAAGTCCTTTAAAGAAATAAATTTTAAAATTAAGCACTAACTTAACCTTTCTGAGCAGTTAAAACTTGCTTGTGGTCTCCCCTCACTCTGGGTTATTATTCATGGCTGTGCTCTGGGAGACACCAGCAATGCCCAGGCTCTCGCAGTTGGATCGCTCTCATCTCTGAACATTTGGGAAATGTCAATAGGGTTTAGATAACCACCTGCCTTTTTGTGCTTTTAGCTTGCTTGAACCCAAACTCTGAATGTCTTGAGAGTTTTCCTGTTGTGAAAAAAAAAACTTTTGGATGTTCCCACCACTCCTAGCAGTTTGCAAGCCCAGCTTTCTCAGAAATCAAATTGTAGTGCTGGAGCTTATTGTAGCCTTTAATCGAGTTTTTGTTCCGGTACAGACTTTTTCCCTCCCTTCAATCCCCCCCATTTCCCCCCTCCTCCCTGCTGCCACATCTATTTCATTTCTTTGAGCTGTCTCGTGGTGGGCCAATTTTGCCTAATGGGTTTTAAAGGTGTATTTGCTACCAGACAAAAGAAAACCATTTATTTTAGCCCCACACCCAAATGCAAGTTTACTGCATTTACTGAGGTTAGGAGCAGATGGCTTAATACCTGCTTGATAAGGAGATGATGATTTGCAGCCAAAATAAATAGAAACTGAATTTGAAGGGCATGTTGCCTGCAGCTCCAGACCTAGGGATGCATAATGCCATATAACAGCACCAACAAATGGTTGTCTCATCTGAAAACTTACCAGCCTATTTTCTTTTTTATTTATCTTTTTCTTTCATCTGGTTTAAACCCAAAATTTCTTATTAATCTTCAGTCTTTTACAAGTTAGGATAAAAGATCCACTAAGGCTTATATTGTGTTTTGTTTTCCTAAACAGGAAAGGACCTTGATTACGGTGTCCAGTCACTTCTGTATCTGTCTGTGTGAAAAACCTGTAAAAATGCACATGAAAATAATCTTTAAGAAACTTTCAACCCGAGGAAGAGAGCAATTTTAACTGGTACCCTTTGGTAGCCAGGCTAACACGCCAGGCCAAAGGTGAGTCCCCAAAATCACATGGGGACAGCATCATCATTTGTATTGCTCATGATGGGGGGCTCTGTCTGGTACAGGTGAAAATCCTGGTCTATTTATCAACAGAGAATTTTTACAACAACTCTTAATCTCTTTTTCCAGTGGCACTACGTGTACCTGGGTGTTAGCTGTGCCTTGTAGATAGCACTGTGTCTCAGGTTGCTGAAACCACAGAGCTGGTGGCACATGGTCGTGCATCATATTTATCTGCTGCAACCTTTCTGCCTCGTCTTATCTCTCTAATGAAATTAAACGTTTTGCCAGGATAGGAGCACTACGCCAGCCTTGCTCTCTGAAGACTTCTCCGAGATGTATGATCATTTCAAAAAGCACATCCAGGCTGTCTTAATGCCTTGAGTGCTCAGGGTCGTACTTGGTTTGAGGAATGTCAGTGTAATCAAAACTTTAGGGTTAAATTAATTAAATCCCTGATTATATTAATGAGATGCTTGTGCTTCCTGCAGATTTCTTCTTTCATAATCCTTAGCAGGAGATTAATATCATATTTGGGCTTGACAGGCTTGGCGACTGAGGCAACAACTGATAAGAAAAGCAAAAGGTTTGGATTTTAGTTAGTCTGAGGAAAACAGTGCCAGCATGTTTACTAACCTTTCTGGTCAAGAATTTGCATTAATTTCCTCTATAAACACACTACTTTTTTTGTTAAGGCATGTATTCATTGCATGATAATTATTTGCAGTGACCAGCATAATTTTTTTTTACTAGTTTTCCCACTTCTTCACATTCTCAACATTGAGCCTAGGCTTTTATTTGAAATACAGCGTTGATAACCTTCTAAATGTTAATATGCAAGCTGTTGTTTATCCCAGTGTGAGGACACTCTGAAGTCATCTTTCTTTGATAGATGAATTACCCCTCCTCATCTCAGCATGGATTATATATCACACCAATATAGGTGAGGTAAATATCAGCGTGAACTCATTCAAAGGCTGTGGAAGCAAAAACGCCACCAAGCATTGCGAGATGAAATGGGGAACAAGTCGGGGATTGCTCTGACAAAGTGAAAAATTCAAGTGTTTTCACCCCAGATTCTAAGCTGTGTCACATCTGGGAATGAGCAGTGGCTTTGGCAGGATTCATGATTCATCTTCCACTGTTACTCAGGGTCCCCAGAAGCCAAAATACTGCCCTAGAATCACAGACGCTCTGAAACTCCTACCCAGCCAT